TTTTTCTTTTCAAAACAGGGCATGAATAACCTTTAGGAAGCTTTTAGAGTGCTCTGGGAGGCTGAGCGAGCAAAAGTGAGCAAAAAATGGCCCGTTTTTTGCTCATTTCTGCCCCCCCCAGCCCCCAGGAGCACTCTGAAAGCCTCCTAAAGGCTATGCATGGCCATTTTGGTGAAGGGGCGGGGTTTCAGGAGGCAAAAAAGCTGTATTCAGTGTATAAGACGCACCCAGATTTTCAGCCTCTTTTTTGAGGGAAAAAGGTGAGTCTTATACTCCAAAAAATACGGTACTTCTAATTTTAAACAGTTTGATACATGGAATATTGTCTTTAGTACTATTTTAAACCAGTCATACAATTCTTGATTAGACTAATTCAAAAAAGGTATTTTTCGAATTACTTAAAAATGCTTAAAATACTAACTGGACCATGAATAAGCATGCAGTGTATGAATATCCATTGTATTTTAACATAGATTAATTTTACAGTAATTACCAAATATTCTTTTTTTAAAGGAGCATTAAATATGTTAGAAAGTACACAATTTAATACAATGTTATAAATGCATAACAATTAAATTGCGCACACTTCAAAAATAATTGGAAAAATGTGTTTCAAAACACATTTAAAGCTTAATGTGCTTAACACACATTTGTGTTTAATGTGTGCGAACATTAAACACAGTACTTTTCTTCTGTTCATTGGAGCAGCCTGTTCTTTTTTTTTGGCTTCCATATAAGCCTTTCAGACCTTTGAAGTAGTTCAAGGAACAAGTAGCATAAATTCTCTTAATTGTTGAAAGCCTCCAGGACTCTATATAACACATCTAATACCAAAATCAAATCAAGGCAGGGATATTTTTAAAATAGCAATGTGTCAATTAATTCTGACATTACTAAATTTTATCTATTACTAGATAAATTTCTAGATACATTACTAAGTTTATCTAATGGGTGTATAAAAAGATGTCATTTTCCCCCCCATTGTTAGACATTAATTGAAAAAATATCCTTTATACTAATAAAATCTCTATAAAGAGTAGTCTTCAGAAATCATGTCATAACTCAGTTACTTGAATATTTATGTATTTCACATTATAACAGCACATTACACATATAGTGTGTAAATAATCTAAAAGCAAGCAAAATATGTTTGAAATAATGCCTAAGTTAAAGGGAAGAAAGCTGATTTTTAATGCAGCATTTTCAACACGTTTTGTTACAAATGTCTTTTCCTGAGCAAGTTAAAAACATGGCTGAGAAGCTAGCAGTTCTATGAACTGGAACGATACGAGTAGTCAGGATTACTGTTTACTGGAGTTTGATACCCAGCCCAATAGATCATGCAATGGTGAAGTACATACCCTTTCTCCTTGTTGTAAATTCACCTATGGTTTGTGAATCTGTTCGCTCTAAACCATGAGGTTTAGGTCTTAAAATTTTAGGGCTTTGACCTAATTGATAAAAAAAAGGAATCTTTCTTAATATAGCTTTTTATTATCAAGATAAAAACCAGAAAAATAACGACTATTAAGAAGCTGCAAAGTCCCTTGCAGAAAGAGATTGCATTTTTGAAAAGTAAGCAAGCAAGTGACAAACAGAAATCTCACACTAAGGTACATGCAGCATGCTGAGAGCCCATGCATCAAAGTTGCTTGAAGGAAATAATTGAGTTGAATGTCACCCACAAATACGATGTTCTTGCTGAAAACAGCACTGCTAGCTACCATATTGGAAGGAGGAACACTACAGTGATATTTCAACAAATCAAACTAGCATACTGTGAAAGGAATTAAAGTATATCAAGGAAAAAAAGGTGAGCCACAGCACAAAGGATGTGTTCTGGAGGTCATCTTATGGTAAAAATATTTTTAATTATTGAAGTATATAAATATGTTAAACTAGATAACTCCAAAAAATTCAAAAAAATGTCCTTATTTACACAGAAAAACAGAACGAACAAAAGCAAAATACCATGAGAGTGGGAATGACTTCTGACTTCCTGCTGGCCTACTTTGGCTAACTGCACTCCAGCAGTTGATAGTAGGACCAGTTTCCCTGGTCTTTAAAGTCCCACCTGGCAAGAGTGGGACTTTTCTACTTGGTCTCCAGCAATCAAAACAGAGGCAAATCTAACCAGCCTCTGGAAAGCTAGGGTAGAACTGGTCTACTGACCCTATGGATGATGACATGTTATAGCATCATACCATCACTGATGTGACAACAAATATGCCATATTTCAATCCTCCTGAAATCACAGGCCCTGGATTTTAGATGCATTCTGTAAGATAGCCCATTTGAGGTACCTTGTTTCAAAAATTGTTGCCCTTTGATGCACTGTTTTGTCTACTTAAAGGTTACAGAAACAAGATTTTTTTAATAGCATATAGAGCTTGTGTGGGGGCACAATATTGAACTCTAATGCAGTATTGCAGTCTAATTCTGCCCATTGCCAGATTTCGATCCTGACCAGCTCAAGATTAACTCAGCCTTGTATCCTTCTAAGGTTGATAAAATGAGGACCCAGATTGTTGGGGGCAATATGCTGATGCTGTATAGTGCTCAGAGAGTCCTGTAAAGAACTATCATGTGGTATATAAGTCTAAGTGCTATTTCTATTTCTATAGTTAAATAAATAAAATGGCCTTTGAATTACTACTTTAGACAGGCAGTTCAATTTCAGCAGTGAAATACAGCAGAAACTTTTTAAAAATTTTGTATCAACAAGAATGAATGCAGCTATAAGAAATAAGGAGGGTGACTATGACACATTTATTATTTAAAATTTAAATTCTATTTGTGATAGCCTTGTCCCAGTATCTAACATTAAATTATATGATGAAAGATTTGAAAGGTATAAAATAGTTTTCACTTAGAGAATGCTTAATACTGGAGTATCATGATTGCTGACAAAAGGAATGCTTTAAAAAACTGACTTCATCAAGCTTTCCTGCATTGTTGTGGGTTTTTGTAGAATTGTCTTTTGTGGGCTCCTGCAAAGTTCAAGCATCCAAAAACCAAAATTCAAACAAAAAGCCCCACCAAAATCTCACATTTAGCTTTCTTTAAATGAAAGCTATGGCAACAAAGTGAACTTAGATCTAATGTCTAACATGGAAAGAAACCAGGATTATCAGGATTATCAAATTTAAAGCAGACCCCTTCCAGATATACAGTATTATGTCATTTTACAGAAGCAACAGTATCTTAAAAAATAAAATTTACTGAGGCATATTTTTAGGGATTTACATAGTTTTGTAATTCAGATCATCTACAGGAGATCAAGAGGTAATAAGTGATGAAGCCATTTCAACATTGAGATACAAGATGCTTGTATTGAGTGAGATTGCTTGTTGTGCACAAACATTATGATGGTGAATGAATGCATGAAAGGGTTGGAGCTTGCACCTGTTGGATGTGAGGCTGCTGATCTGGCCAATTAGAAAATTCTTCTTTATTTTTATTTTACAATTGTTTGAGAATCATTCTCTGTTGGTTGAATGAACAATAGTTCATTTCTGGATTTTATACAGATCAAGATGACAATAAACTTTATTTAGGTTAGGTATTTAAATTGGGTAGACTAGCATCCTTTACAACTATGAGGTTCACAGGAAGAGAGTTTTATGTGATTTTAGGGAATCATGTTCTATACGTTCCTCTTTCATATTGTTTAAGGTCATGCTAAGGTAGAACAGCTAAAACTACTATGCAAAGGGTATTTTAGGACCCAAGATTTATGTTTCATGTTCTACCTGTAATTCTAGAGAAGGGGTGTCAAACTTGCATCATCATGTTGTCATCACGTGATGTATCACAACTTTTTTCCCCTTCACTTAAATGGGAGTGGACATGGGCAGTGCGTGATGCATCTGGCCCATGAGCCAGGAGTTTGACACCCCTGTTCTATGGTAAAATACCAAACAGCTGTCACCAGTATGCAAATTAAAAGAGTTGCAATAACAAAATAGAATTATCACTGCATATGAAATGCCTTATTATCTCAAAAGGAAAGGTTATATAACATGAACAACAAAAGAATGCTGTATTATTATTTTAACAGTGCTTTAAAGACATGTGAGCAAGAGAAATTAAAACACAGCTTTGAAAAGCCTTGTTAACTATTTATTATATAAAACTGTACACAATTACATCTGTTAGATACCAGAAACAATTACAATGGTTTACACCAAGGTCCTCTGTTCCGGCGGGAACAGAGATTCAACCTGATTGGTCGAAGGGTCTGACAGCTCCCTATAAAAGGGCTGCTGCCAGACTGAACCTTTGCTGGATTGTACATAGTTGTTTCAGAGTTAATAAAGAGCTGTTGCTGCCTAAGCCTGAGTGTGCCTTTCCTTTACCTGAACTAACAACATCAGTAACCAAACATGCTATTTTCTTTGCAGACAGCTAATCAGTTTTCAGCATGAGCACTCAGAGGTCTGTTAACATTTTTAAAGATCTCAATGTGTCATCTACTAAAAAACTCAGGACTGGATGAAATTTCAACTGCAATAAAGTATTTAATTCATGTATATGTACCATTTTGCAATTATATTTTGTGTCAATTAATTTTTATATTAAAATAAGGACATCTCTGTTAAGGCAGGTTATAATACAAGAGATTGATATGATGTTTAAAAACAAATCCTCCTTTTAATTTTATCTTTGAGGCTATACCTCTATTACATTTGAAATCAATAAGATTTTTTTAATGACTTAGATAAAAGTTATGAGTAACTCAAGTTATTTGATCGGTAGAAATGCTGATCAGCAGTGCTGAGGGAAAACAACATGTGAATTTGCTACCAATGAGATTTTGAAAGTACCATCCCAAATTCTTGTAAGCACTTGAAAGTACCATCACAAATTCTTGTAAGCACAGCAAAAAAGCGTAATTATGATCAGCATATAATTCAGTATGAGTCAAGGTAAAAAAAAATCTTTATAAAATGGCATATATGCAAAATATGCTCAAATAATGTGTATCTTCTCTTGCTAGAAGAAAAAAAAACTTACCTGCCTCTATTTTTATATACATTGGGTTGGAACCAGGCTTCTACCTCTATAAACAAATAGGAACTTGAATCTAGCAAATCATCGTGCTAGAAAAAGGAAATATGGCAGCAATATTCTCTTATTCTTTCTCCCTTCTTGCTGCCACTTCCTTTCTTTACTCTTATATAAAAAGTGCTGCAGAAGGAATAAGAGAAAATTGCTACTCTGCTCCTTCTCCCATTTTAGTAGATCTCAGGAAAGCAAATAATCTGTGAGGTTGTTGATGATCTCTGAGCTTGGTCATTTTCTTGCAGATATCTGCAAGAAAAACAACCAAGCTCAGATAGCAGCAAGGATCCCTAAGCTGCAAACAATCTCTTCTACTGGTAGCAAATAATGTGATTCAATTAAAAAGCCTGTGAGACATTGAAGCAGGGCCCTCCAGATGTTACTGAACTGCACTGGCATGGCCAATGATGAGGCAAACTATGAATGGTAATTTTACAACATCTAGGAGTAATGGTTAATAATAGTTCACTATTATTAGAGAGCCGTGGTGGTGCAGTGGTTAAAATGCAGTATTGCAGGCTAATTCTGATGACTACCAGCAGTTTGATTCTCACCGGCTCAAGGTTGACTCGGCCTTCCATCCTTCCAAGGTCAATAAAAATCTCAGTAAGGACCCAGGTTGTTGAAGTAATGTACTCACTCTGTAAACCACTTAGAGTGGCCTGTAAAGCACTGTGAAGCAGTATATAAGTCTGCTATTGCTATTCCATGACAATGACATGCATTCCTTCTATGGTGTTGCATTAAAATATGTATTATCTATTAATATCACTTTGATAGACACTGGGAGATGAAGATATTTGAGATGAGTACCATATACAGTATGGTACAGTATCAGCAAAATTTAAAGAGACAGTAAAACTATGAGTTTGCCAGCTTCAAAAATGCTTATGTATTTGAAAATTAAAGATTTGAATGAGATCCATTTAATAACTTATTTTATGAAAAACAAATAACATTATCTATAAATTCTGATGATCATAGATTACTGATGCCTAAATTACTTCCAAAACAGAGATATAATTTGCGGACAAGATTTTGCACAAAATTAAAAGCAAAACTTTAAATTTAAAGTATAGAATTAACAATAAAATATTGCAAATGTTTTAAAAATTGCTGTGATTTTATTTATTGGCATAATTCATCTAACCACATGAGAGCAAATTGGCTCTAAGTGGCTTATGCAAATTAAGTGTTAAAAGGAAGATACAAATCAAAATTAAACTATGATGAGCCTATTTAATATCTTAATAATAAAACTCTAAATTAAAATAGTTCATACTGGCTACCAACTTCTAATATGGTTTTATTCTGTGAAGGGTAAACAATGATAGGAAGAAAATGCTTAGAGCAACTGGTTGCACACGCTCATCTCTCACCTTTCCGGTCTGGCTTCAGGTTCCTGTCCACTGGAGGAGGTTCACATTCTGCTGCAGGGACTGGCCTTCTAGGAGGGGTCTTTGGACTAGATCTAAATCCCATGTGTGCTGGTGGAGGCACTTGCATTCCAAATAGTGAAAAATCAAACGTGCCAGGAGTCATTGGCACATAGTTCGTCATTTCTTGGATGGGTTCAGTAAAACTGCCAGAATGGTGACGTGGAGGAGAGTTGGGGTTCATGGGAACATAATTTTCATCCAGTTCTTCACTGGAAACACTTCCAACAGTCAATAGACTTTTATTTTTCTAGAAACAAGAGTTATGGTAGCAGTAAATTAATCAGAATTCACTGACTATTATTCAAGTTGTATGATACATTATTACACTATTGATCAAAGGATCCCAACTGTTCCTTCATGGAAGAGAATTCTTTCATCCCTTACACATTTAAACACCCATTCTGTGCCTTCTTATCCTATTATGTTCCTTACACCTTTCTGCACATTTTGCAAGATGCTTATGTGCTGAATTATTTTCACCATGATATTTGCCAACCTCCTTCCCTTTCCTTCATCAGGTTGATATCCCATTAAGAAGACGCCCTTTTATTACATTATAGCCAAGCCTTCCTTGCAAATATTTTTCATAGGCTCTATTAAGGATCCCTACTGTTTTTATTAGTTAATATGCACACAACCAAATGCTCAGTATGATAAATGCTGAAATATGTATGGTAGAATAAGGACTCAGTGGGCATTTTCATCATCTTAATAAAAGGCCTGCAGATGTTGACATTAAAATATTTGCTCATATAAGAGCACCAACCTAAGTCCCAGTAGCCATCACCACAGATCCCTCTGACCAACAAATGACCTCTTAGCCTTCAGAGATAACATTAGACAACAATCAGATACGTTGATATTCCCTGTGCAATAGACTGAGATACCATCTTTTATTTCATAATATTTGCCACGCTCCTTCCCTCTCCTTCATCAGGTTGATGTCCCATTATGAAGACACCCTTTTATTACATTATAGCCAAGCCATCCTTGCAAATATTTTTCATGATAACGCTCCTAAAGAATTTCTGGCTTTAGAGAGTTTAAGTTTAATCCTCTTCAAGAGAGTTCTTGTTCTGATCTTGTGATTCATGTATTAAAAATATAGTATCTCAATTTACTGCGCAGAGAAAAACAATAAAGCCAATGATTGATGTTTGATGGTCAGCCTAAAGTTTGATGTTTGATATTCAGCATTCTTTCTTGACTTCACTAGTAAGTCGACTGGCATTTCAGCTTTAGAAACTTTTTTTATTCCTTGGCAAATCAAAATAATACTTACAAAGTGGTTATGGAAGCCTTCCAGTGAGCTTGATCTATCATTTGGAAATGTTCGTGGAACAAAATAGCAGTCTTGAGAACCAAGGTCTAAAACAAAGGAGAAGAAAGCAAATGTTTTCCCCCAATGACATAAAAACTACACACAATTAAGTGCAAGTAGTCAAAATGAGAAATTTTGTATAACCACTTTCTATAACAGCCTTCCACATTTATTATGTTTTGGATATATTCACACAAACTTCACTTGACTGGAAATAATGGGAGTAGAAGCACAATATTGCTATAGCTGATGGAAGAACTTATAAAAATTAGCCCAGGTGTCTACCTCTAGCTAAGTATAGCCACAAGCATGCCCTTTTTTGTGTTGCAGTACCATGATATTAACTTCACCTGATTTCCAGGCTTTCGCTAAAATAAGGGTAAGTCATCCTTACATTAATGTTAGAATTAATGTTTTTCCTGTAATTCCAAAACCATTTAAGGTTAGCCTCAAAATAGGCAAAATTTCTAGCCACTATACATTTTAGCCAACTTCAAGGATAGTAGTAGCATTATAACTCAGTAACAGGGATATTTGCTATGTCACAGTTTAAAAATGCAAACAGAGCCAATGCTCAACCTTACAGATGTAAGCAGTGAACAAAGACATCAGACTTAAAAGGGAAAGAGAAATATTCCTTCCCATCCTTTTTTTAATCCAATTTGTTCTGTAATTTTCATTTTGACTGCCAGTTTTGGCTCTTCTGCACATATCAACCTACTCCTTAATCCCATACCATCCTCATAATATTCATAAAGATTTCAAATGTTATGAAGTTGAAAGGGATAAACCTAAATAGATACTGTCCAAGCTCATGACTTTTCATACAACCTCAGCCTTAGCCATTCCAACAGAAGCAGAAGGGAGCTGAAAGCGACAACATTCAAAAGCACTAAATGGCCTGATCCTACTTTGTAGACACTAAAATGATTATGGAATACTTGCATAGTAAAAGATGAATATCACAATGGCAATTTTCAGATTAAAAATAGTTTGAACTCTGGAAGCCATATTGCTTGATAATAAAATGATTGATTTACATCACAAATAGCATTCAGGCTCAAAAGCAGTGGCATCAAATTGGTGGCCCACGCACCGGATGTGTCATGCGCAGGCCAAATCCACTCCAGCTTCACAAATGGGAAAAATGTCATGAAAAGTCACATGACAGTAATGTGACTCTGTGAGTGTGACACCCATGCTCAAAACGATTTGAAGTCATTTATGCAACATTTTTATATGTTGGGAAATTAATTAAAATAAATATATCAGGTCTAGCACAATTTTTACTCACTCATTACTATATAGGAAAAAACATAGTAAACATACATGCATATTTTTGTTTTGGTACTGAAATTTGGCAGTACAAGAGGGCTTCATCTAATCCTTAATGTAGGATATCCATATTGCAGTAGTCCTAAAATGGGGGTGTCAAACCAGATTTCTTCCAGGGCCGGATCAGCATTGTAGTTCTCAGTGGGCCAACAGGGGGAGAAGAGCAGAGGGAGTGATGAGACAATATGGACGCCTTTTGCAGCACCTCGCGGGCTGAAAACAGGCTTAAATGGGCCAAAAACGGGCTCTGCGTGGTCTATTTTCAGCTTCCCTGGTCTCCAGCAACACTTTGCCAGCCAAAACCGGGCACCACATGGCCCGTTTTAGCCAGCAGAGGCATCGCAGGCAAGTCCTTAGATATTTCCAGGCTGGTCCTCAGACCGGATTTAAGCACCTGGTGGCTGGGCTGGTGCACGGGCCTTGAGTTTGACACCCTGGCCCTAAGAGATGTCTCTCTCTTAATAATCTATAACAAAAGGTAGCGAAACAAGAAAACCAAAGTAACTCAAAGTAAACTCTCGCTGATTTCAGCAAATTCAGATTCCCATAACATCAATGCCCATATATGGCATGTAACCTCAAAGACCAATGATTTTGATTGTCTGATTTCCTTTTATCAATATATGAATGTGTATATAAATTTATATTTACTAAATAATAATACAATGGGGATCTTAATATTAAGTACTCAGTGACAGACTGAAACTACTATCACATGTACTATTTTGATATGAATACAACCGTACATTTTTATATTATTCTTAATTTTGGGTGGAAAATGAAATAATTTTAAACTTGCAATATTGACATCTTAAAATGCTTTTAATATTGATATATTTTTACTTTTACTTTTTTATCAGTAGTCTGAGCTTTCCAAATAACAGAATGTTCACAATTTAAAATAATATTACATAAATATTATTGAATGGAAATCTGCATTGAAATAATCAAGATTTATAACATCACATTAAAAGGAAATTAAAACAAATCCAATGATTTTGAGCTAACATCCTTCTCTTGGATCTTGGAATATTTCAATTTAATATAAATGAAATCTTTGATAAAAATTTATCCAATAAAATACCCACTAACCTTTGCGAAATATATTCATATCCATGGTGGAAATTGTGTTGCTGCGAGATGGGAGCAAGCCACTTGTAGGGATGCAGTAACTGTTATCAGTATCTGAGGCAGTACGTGCAATGCTACACGCCTCCACCGGAGAGCGATCTGAAGCATGATGAGGCTTTGGAGGACGTGGTGGAGGAACATCTGGAATAGTCTCTAGCTTTGAACCTTGAGTCAATGAACTTTCTGGAAAAGTTCGTGGAATTTGGTACGTACTTCCAGGTGTTGAGGGAATGTCATAACTAAGGGAGAAATGCCTCATCTGTATATCAAGAGAAGAGGTTGCAGATGGAGTGCTAAAAACATGTTGCTCTCCATCTATATCAGTTCCAGAAGGAGATGCCTTTGGTAAAACATCTTGAGAATAACTCCTTGGTAGATTATAAAGACTGCCATCTACTGACACCGAAGCAGCTCTTGATGTGGGAGAATCATATACACTATGTTGCTGAAAATATCCATTCACTGTGTGCTTGTTTAGCGATTGCACAGAACTTTTATGGGAAGGCACATTATCATTACAATCTGTTTCAGAACAGGCAGATTTTGCTGTATCAGCTGACAACCTAAGTAATAAATGAAAACAAACAAAAAATAAATGCACTGGCATATTTCTTCCAGAAACAAATATTTCCTAAAATAAGAAACAAAAATAGATAATCACAACTCTGTGTCATTCAGGCTTTAATTTTATATGCATTGCTAACATGCTCCTATAATGCAGAGGGACCTGAAGGGAGAAACTGCTTCTTGGTAAATCATAAGGCACTGGGACTGCAGGTACCAATGTGGCATTTTCATTCTTAAATTCAAAAAGTAGTTGCTTTCATGATATACTGTATTTCTATACTATGTTGCTAAACTCTCAGCTCTAATTCTGTCTATAGATTTTAGTCAGCAAGGCTTCTAAGATATCTCTTCTTATAAACATCAATGTTAGGTATCTACACAGGATTGATGAATAACAAAACACTAATTATACTAACTCTTATTAAATTGCCTTAAATGTGCTACTTTTATTATTTTTTAACTACTTTCTTTCTCTCAATCCTTAAAAAAATACTTTCCATAACTTGTTATGAATTCTTCAGTTTTGTAATAATGTAGTTCTTCAAACTAAGAAATAATATTTTAAAGGTATCTAAGATATTTAAGAAATAATGTTTTAAAGTTATTTGAAGTTACAATTGAAAACAAATGTTTAAAACAACATTGTTTTTTGGAATGGGAATATATTTGAATATAAACCAGGGACAAAAATACTGTTCAAAAGCAGCTGTGTATGCCACTTTGCTCTTAAATATGAGTGGCTGATCATCTGGATCCCTGTTATATACTGCAGCATCCTTCCTTATCACTATCTTCATAAAATTATAGAATTAAAAGTTGTCTTTTTTTATCAAATCCAAACCTGCTCTGTAAAGAAATCCAAATTAAACCAATGTTGACAAATAGCTGCCTAAGGCAGTGTTTTTCAACCACTGTGCCGCGGCACACTAGTGTGCCGTGACATAGTGTAAGGCAGTGTAAGGCAGTGTTTTTCAACCACTGTGCCGCGGCACACTAGTGTGCCGTGACATAGTGTAAGGTGTGCCGTGGGAAAAACACCTGCCGGCATTGCCACACGCGCCCCGCTCCCGCCCACTTCCCCCCTGCCAACGCGAGGCCCTGGAGCATTGGAGGAGAGCGAAGAGCTGCTCCAAGGAAGGGCGCAAAAGGCGAGGTTTTTGAGGAGGCTTTTCCCGTGGGATTCCCGTCGCAGGAGGAAAGCGCGGAGCCCAACCAAGCCAACTCGGGTTCCGCCTCCCTTTTTGTATGTCCTCCTCCTCCACCACCACCGGGGGAGAAAAGTGCCAGCGCCGTCCCGGAACAGGCTGCGCCAAACGGCCGCGCGCCCAGGCTCAGCAGGAGGCCAAGTCCGCGCGCCCCACCTCACCTGCGCCAGTCGGGGAGGGGGAAGGAGGGGGAGGGAGTGAGCGCCACACCTGGCCGGCCTCGGGGAGGACATCGCCGCGCCGCCCCACACGCTCCCTTCACCGGTAGGATGTGATATTTGAACGGGCTGCGGAAGGGAGGGCGCGTAGTCACACCTCTCCCCCATCACCTGAATCTCCACCCGCTTCCCTTTCCCCGGGCCGCTCCAAAGGCGCATCCTTTCCTCCTCCCCCCCCCCCCCGTGGATCCTCCGCGCGCGTGGCTGGTGAGATGAGCTTGCTGGTGTGGAGGGATCCAAAAAGTAACATTTTTTTTTACCCTTTGCTTTAAAAGAAATGAAAACTTTTATCCAGCAAAGGAGAAGTTCAGAAAGGTGAGGAGGACTTAAATTCGAAGCTTTTATTCCGTGCGAGGGTTGTTTTGCTTTACTTAATATGTGAGCTTGGGTGGAAGGGGATGCTGGGCAGGGGTCTGAGCTGGGCCTGCATACAGAGGCCAAGAGACCCTCCCAGCCAGCCCCTGCCCTCTGAGACCATGGGAGTGAGGATCCCACCTCCACAGCCAGCCACAGGAAAGGCTCTTCAGAGGGTCCACTGAGAACCCAAGCCGAGGGCTGCTTTCTTTTACGCACACCACACACACACACACACACACACAAGCAGACAGTTCACCAGACCAAGAATCAGCCCCTGCTGCTGGGCAAGAGCAGAGGTCAGCTGGGGTCGCATTAGCAAACGATGGCTGGACAGAGTCTTGCTTCCCAACCTTGGTTGACTGAAATAACACACACACACACAAACACACACACACCACTGAGCTGGCCTTCCACTGTGGCCTGGCAGGGAGGCTCCTTACTCAGTGTTGACCAGGGTGCACCATTTTCTAATGGTGGTGTGCCTCGTGATTTTTTTCATGAAAAAAGTGTGCCTTTGCACAAAAAAGGTTGAAAAACACTGGCCTAAGGTATACTTGGCTACATCCAGCGAGAGCAAGTCCACCATATAACTAACTACGGTAATTAGATTCACTGTTACATTGTTTTAATGTCAGGACCATTTCTAATGTCAAATTGTAACATGCCCTAAGTTAAGAAAAGACTGTGGTTTTTACTCTGCTTTTTCAGTTTCAGAAGAACACAGCAATAGCAATAGCACTTAGACTTATATACCGCTTCTTAGGGCTTTGCAGCCCTCTCTAAGCAGTTTACAAAGTCAACGAAGTCCCCAACCATCTGTGTCCTCAATTACCAACCTTGGAAGGATAGAAGGCTGAGTCAACCTTGAGCCTGATGAGACTCAAACTACCAAACTGCAGGCAGATGGCAGTCAGCAGAAGTAGTCTGCAATACTGCATTCTAACCACTGCGCCACCATGGCTCTTAAGCATAGTCAAATTACAATGTCTCTCAGCTTCTCAAGTCTAAATTGTACTTCATAGGATTTCTTTTCTACTGTCTTGATTGTTCTAGGCATGATATCCAAGTTATGGTCTGTTCCATACAGAGTAAAATGGGACTACTACTTCCTTAAATTTGCTTCATGTGAGAAAAAAGCCTAACATTCTAAACTTTTAGCAGACCAATTGCCAATGTGATGATTTTCTTAGCAAGTAGCAAAACTGTAAACCAAGCACTGGTTTTTCCCCATTTCTAAAAGGTAAACCCTTTTACTTCAGTGTTTTTTTCAAAATGACCAATACATCTGCAAACAATGTAGCAATTTCTCCACTTCAAGCCACTCTGGATACATCAAGTAGTAATTATTTGCACTGCTTATGAAAATCCAAAGCAAAATGCACAAGATGCACAAATACACACACAAGCTGTTTTTTTCCCCCAAACAGGCTTTAGATTTGTGGTTAATTTCTAAAGACAAATCCCAAACACTCACTGCAATGGAACTTTTTTACTTTCAAAATCCTCCAGCAGTAAATATTCCTCCACTTCTTCCAAGATGAAAGAGCTGGTTTTTTTGAGTACACGATAAAAATTAAGAGATCAGTGATGGAAATTATTTTTGAACAGTAACCCTCCCTTTTGAAAAAATATTTGATAAAAAGAGCAATTTTAAAAATAAAATAACATTGTATATAGGTTGGTTTTCAGATTTTATGAAAATAACATGTATCCAGAAGGTACTTAAGACAATTTACCTCACCCTTAAGTAATCAGACTTTAGTCATAGTTCTTTAAAAATTACATAAGGAGTGATGGGGGAAAGGATATTATTAAAAAAGTAAGTTTTTCAGCAAGAATAATGAACTTCAAGAGAATGGAACAAGTAATGTAGCCCACAAGAGCAAGAGCACTTATACTGCTTCACAGTGCTTTACAGCCCTCACTAAATGGTTTACAGAATCAGCATATTGACCCCAACAATCTGGTTCCTCATTTACCAACTTTGGAAGGATGAAGGCTGAGTTAACCTTGAGCTGGTAAGAATTAAACTGCCGAACTGCAATATGCATTCTAACCACTGCGCCAACATGGCTCTGTACAATAACCTCTGAGAAACTAGCTATGATAATTGTTACTATAGCATTTTAATGACACATAAAGTTAAATGTTTACCTTGTTGGTTCAGGCTTCTTACTTTGACAATTGACTAGTAACAGGTAATCTTGTGGATCTTCATGACTGGAGGCAGATTCTAATGGTGGGATATTAATTAACTGATATGGAGGAGGTAGGGATGGCTCGGCTTGTACAGATGGTAGGGAAGTACTGACTGCTAAAGGTAATTCGGCTGATGCCGGCAAAGAATTGCCTGGTGGCTTCACAGCATCTACAAAACAGAATATGCAGCTAAGTCACTAAATACTTGATTGATTCATTGATTCATTGATTCATTCATACATTTATTCAAGAGTTATATGGCCAGCCATCTTGCAGTACAGGTAGTCCTCAACAGTTCATTTAGTGACCATTCAAAGTTACAACAGCACTGAAAAATGTGACTTATGACTGTTTTTCAGAGTTACAACCTTTGCACCATCCCCCTGGTCATATGATCAAAATTCAGATGCTTGGCAACTGGTTCATATTTATGACCATTGTTGTGTCCCAAGTGCATATGATCACCTTTCATGACAAGCAGTCAATGGGGAAGCCAGATTCACTTAACAGCCGAGTTACTAACTTATCAACTATAGTGATTCACTTAGCAACTGTGGCAAGAAAGTTCGTAAAATGAGGCAAATGTTCCATTAACAAATGTCTCACTTAACAACAGAAAATTTGGACTTAATTGTGATCATAAGTCGAGGACTACCTGTACACAGTTTTAGTTGGCTAATAACAATAATAAAACAATAAACAATAAAAACAATAGAACTAAAAATCAGGAAAAACCTGATGCCCAATCCAACATTTTTTTCTATTCATCTATTCAATCCGTAGGCCCCAACCTTACTATCCCAACTCCTGGGGTCAACGTCACCTCCTGATGGCTTTCCAGAAACTTAAGAAAGTGAGTGCCAGTTGGATCTAAAAGGTAATAAAAGGTTCCATGGAGAAGAGCCTACTGTAGAAAACACGATTTCTAGATCCCACTAGACAGCAACATTAAAGCTAAGGATCTGAAGTGTGGCCAGTCTAGCAATCTGGTGGAAGGGCAGATATTCTAAGGGGGAAGCAGTGCCACCAACAACCTGGTCCTGTGCTATGTAGAACCTTAAAGTGATAACCATACTTTGAATTGACCTGCAAAGAAACTGGAAGCCAGTCAAGCTTGCACAACAAAGGTATTACATGAGCAAAGCGAGCACCAATACTGTGCAAGCTGCTGCATTCTGGACTGGCTATAACTTCTGGGCGGTCTTCAATGTGCATGCACAGCACAGTGCAATAGTCCAAGTGGGAAATAATAATCAATGATGAATGACCATGAGCAAGGCTTCCTGGTTCAAAAATGGGTACAACAAATGAATCTGTGCAAAGATTCCCTAGTCATGGCTGCTACCTGGTTCTTAAGTAGGAGGTGCAAGTCCACTCAAACTGCCTCTCAGCTCTGTGTGGGGAAGTGCTATACCACTGAGAGTCCCAAACCCCAAAGCTTGGCCATTTTGCTAGGATTGAGTCACAGCCCGTTCATTCTGAGCCAGATCTCTACAATCTCCAGGCAGAAGATTAGCAGTGAAGCGGTGTTATCTGTTCAGCGGATGATACTACACCCCATGCCATCAGATGGCCTCACTTATCTGCTTCATATTTTAAAAGTGTGTTAAAAGATTCAAAATCTGGGACATTCACATTGTGTGAATTTTTTTTCCACCTCCAAAACCGTTCCAACAGATTCTGGCCATGGAGGAAGAATGATTCCCACTTCCAATCCCTGCAACCAGTCCAGAAGATTATCATGGCTGAAGGTACAAAAAGCCAAGAAGTTTAAGATTTCACCTAAATGCTACTAAAAGAACTTTAAAGTATTAAATATAATGCATGCTGATTTATACTTTAAAAATTAGTAATGTTTGGATTATATTGTATCAACTATTCATAATATCTTCAAGATAAAGAGATAATGGAGCAGGCTGCAGTTATTCCATAAAAGAATTGTGACTGTTAGGTTTTCAACCGCTTAATCAAGGTAATCTATCAAATTACCCATCTTCAGATATGATGTCTATGAACCAGATAATTCTCACTTGCCCCTTTCAGATTAAAGCAAGAGGAACCCATAATTTCTTTCCCAATTGACAATTGTATAAAATAAATACACAAACTCTATTTTCCCCTGTTTTTCTTCTTGACAAAAAAAGTCTTTTTATGTTCTGAATTTCAGTGTTAATGTATAACAGAATAGAAGAGAATGATTAATTGTTTTCAAAGTCAATTAATAATGTAAATATTCACATCACAAGAAGTAGTAAGCCTCTGAAATGCTTGAAGTGACCGTTTTATGTTCTTGTATTTACTTTTATGCTATTGCAGCTTGATGGGTGTGTTATAGGATGAATGGGTTTTTATTAAAGAAATAATGATGATGAAGGCAAAAATTCAACATCATAACAAGCAACAGCAAATGTCGCCTTTGTAGCGAAAAGGATGAAACAATTGACCATTTGATCAGTGGCTGCAGCAAAATTTCATAAACTGACTACAAGCAGCATCGTGACTGCCAGATTATTCACTGGAAACTTTGCCAAAGGTTTGGATTTGAATGCAGTAAAAACTACTGAGATAATGAAGTTGAGAAGGTTTTTGAAAATAAGTGGGTTAAGATGTCACGGTGCTTTAAGATGCAAAGAGACAGGCATGTGGTTAATAACATGCTTAATATAACAATTATTAAAAAGAGAAAGGCTTGTACATTGATGTTGCTATTCCATGTGATGCTAAGATTGAGGAAAAATAATTGTGGGAGAAGAAATTACAAAATACAGGTACTTGCAAATTGAAGTTGGTTGTTTACTGGGGGGAAGGGAAACCTCATTGCTCTACCAGTCATGAATGGAGGCCTTGGAGCAATTTCTTTGATATCTGGAAATACTGAATTTATCAGGCCTGAACAAACCTAATTTTACAAAAAAAAAATCCGCCTTGCCATGAATTGCCTATATTCTTAGATGCTACCTTAATAATTCACAATTCCTCAGTTAAAACTTGAATTATTAGATTACCACAGTCTTAAACTGTAAAACTAACTGCAGAACACCCACACAGAGTAAAGGGAAACTTATTAGTAATCAGTTCTGCAATGCAGAAAGCTACATTTATATAGTCGGTGTAAGATTGAGAACTGCCTTTGGATCCAGGCTATGGATATCTGCTCAACTGTTTATCCAAGGAAAGAATTTGGTATGGATATTCCCATTCATTCTGCAAAACAGATGTGCCATTCAATTAATCTGCGTACTAAATTCTAAAAGTAGAAAACCATAGCAAATATTTTGCAATAGCAAATATTCATCGTACTGTCCCAAATTTAGCCTCAACATTGTTATAATGTCCAATTGCTTCCAAAACAACCTCTAACTGTGGTATAACATAAGGCAAACATTTTCTCAATGTTCAACTTTATAAATATATAAATTTAATCCTTTAAGATTCTGAAAAGTATGTTTCATAAAATCAATTATGAAAATATTTGGGAACTTTTCCTTCTGCCATTTGTGCTACCAATGTGGCCTGATAACTGGGAATACTCGTAGTTGCAGTTTGAATATAATCTGTGTAGGTCTTCAGATTCAAATAGAAAGATCCAATAGAAAAGAATATTTGTAACTTGGGGCTAGACTATTGAGTTCTTGATGTTAACTAGTTGGGTAATGAAATGTCAGCAAGCAAACAACCAAGCAAATACTAAGAAGACCATAATTACAAAGTAGCCTGTGTAAAAACTATGTCAGAAGGAAATTAATGATTATGTATAAGGTCAAGAAAAAGTATTTGTGTGACATTGCAACTCATTTTTACTGCAACTCACTTAAGCATAGGATCATGCAGAGTAAGTGCATTTCAAATTGATATCAGAAAACTTATAGATTCAGTAATACTAGACCTGAAGTACTCATCCTGCAAAAGCTATTCTTAAAACGTATTTTCTTCAAAATTTTAAGTAACTTAGACAGGAGAAAAAATATATAAAAAGGCAGGAGCACATACAAATACTTCAAAAAATTAAGCCATAAGTCATATACAGTACTTTTATTACCCCAGAATCAGAATCAGTTAACAATAATAACTGAAAAATAAAAGCTCTATGGTCATTGATTGAACCCTGTCCTTACATACTTCAGCTTTCCCATCATCATATTTACAAATTCATCTTACAATATATTTTATTAATTTAATAAATTTATATCCACTTCTCATATGTGGCTCTCTCCCCATTGTTTTATTTACTCAATTCACCAGTGAAGCTGAGTAGGGGGAATTTAGTCACTAGACCAGGATATCCAGCAATGCTGTAGCCCAAACCATTTGAAACCAGCTCAGTCCTATTCTGACACTCTAACAATGATCTCATATTATGGAAGACTTATATTTGCTTCATGCATCTTTCCAAAATTCAATAATTAAACAAATATTTACAATACATAATAATATGTTTTCAAAAACATTTTCTTCCTTTTCCAACAAACGTACTAGCTAATGTCTCTTATAGCTAACTACACTTCTGAATGAGAAACTTTACTAGCTGAGAAACACACATCATCTATTTCTCAGAGGAATACCTAAGAAAATAGGGAATATCACATAAATTATTCATTATGGTATCCTGAGAATTCCATGATCAAAGGAATCACATTAAAAGGACTAGCTAAGTTCAAAAGAAGACTTCAAACTGGCCCCCAGAAAATGCTCCTTTTTCTTTTTTCCATATATGTACAGGCAATGATTGTCCCACGGCAAGACCTATGTGCTTAGATTTTCTTGCTATCTTGTGTGGCTATAAATGACACTTCATTTCTTCATATGCATGCCTGTACTGTATCTGTTTGATGCTGTAACTTTGCAGCTGCACAGCATACTGGACCATCTTTGCTCCCAAAAAACTTTCTTTCAGAAGCTGAAGCATGGCATTAGAAAACAATGGCTAATGAAATGCCACAATAATTTTCTATAATGGCAAAGACCAATATGTTTTTTTTTAAATTACTGCATATTAGATTTAAATACAACAGAAAGTTATCTTTTGAATTTCCATATCCCAAATGTGATTGTATGGGATCACGTTTCTAACAAATTGCTAAAATATAACAACAATTTACTTACCATCATCAGTAGGATTGAACCCACAGATATCACAAATACATCGAACCCACTTATTCATCTCCTCTTCACTGTCGGCAACTAAATAGAAGACTCTGTCTATTGTATTTATGTCAAAAATATAGCTGTTTTCAAACTCTTTTTTGTTAAATGTCAATCCAGCATCCACTTGTTGACACAAATTCAAGTCAATGATACGAATTGGTTTCTTGGTGTGGTCATTTTTGTAGTATTCCAATACATCTGGATCTCCTGTCAACCGACCACTGCGGAGCACAAACCATCTTCTCTTCCATGCCTAGACGATGGGGAAAATATCCAGATATTTTATATGAGTGTGTTACCAAAGTAGCACAGAGTAATCTAAAGACATATTTGAAACGATAACATTGTATTATAAATTGAAATATTTGGAATTCAATTAAATCTATATAAAAAGAAAGTGCAGTAGTTAAGAAGTGCAAAGGAACTGACAATTTGGAATACTCAGTACAAAGCCACTAGACTTAAATCATATGCTGCCCCAGAGATTTTTCAGCTCAGGACAGAAATAGCAATATAGGGTAATGAGTCTTACATATCTTTAATATACCAATAATCTTTGTGGCCAACAGAAAAAGCTACAAGATTAAAAGTTTTGAAATTGATACTTTTTATTTTACATTGCACACCCTCTCCCCACAACTAATTTACCTTAATGTCTTGTACACATTTATGTATGTTTGAAAATATAAAGGTCTTTTCATTTTCTGGCATGAAATAGTTTGGTTTAACAAAATATTCAAGCTTGTAATCACATTCCCATTTATTTAAGAATCAGCCAATTGCCAAGAACAAAAAGCCTTATACTGTATTAAATCTTAACCCAGTTATTAAGGCATAAGCCAGCCTTTCCCAACCCCAATTTCTATTGTCACAGCTAATGTACATTTTTACACATTTTCATCTGCTGTCTCTAGTTTTCTTGGACACCCTTTTTTCCCCCTAAATATACAGCTAGATTGGTATAATGGTTAAGGAAATAGACTAAAAACTGGGAGACTGTGAATTCTAGTTCCACCTTAGGTACAAAGCCAGGTGAATAACCTTGGGTCAGCCACTCTTTCTCAGCCCTGGGAAACAGACAGAGGCAAATCATTTCTGAAATCCAAGAAAATTGCGACTTGTCAGGAGTAATTGATTTCAGAGGAAGACAGAGAAGCAGAAAAAGAGAAGGCCAAAATGGGAAATAGAAAGAGGAAATCAGTCTTCCATCAATTTTTTTGAACTTCTAAAATATTCTGGCAACTTCTAAATACAATCTTTTTACTATTGTCAGTCCTTAGAGGTAGTACAGACAGGAAATACAAACTTTAAGCATTAGCACTATTTTTTTTTTGTAAAGTTACAGTAACAGAATCTTAAAAATTTAAAAGCACATCTCTTTCCCCATGCCTTTATAATTCAAGAATCTAGAAAAGTCCCTTCTGAAATGCTTGCTGCACCCTCATTGCTTCTGCCGGCTAAGTGCTTCTAATCTGACCATTGCCTAGTCTACTCTTCCTTCTTCTCCTGTCTCCCAAGTCAAAGTCCTGAATTTAATCCAGTGGTGGGTTGCTAACTGGTTTACTACCAATTTGCTTGTGCTTGCGCGCACAACTCTTCTGTGCATGAGGAGAAGAGGATGGGCTGAGCCTCCCGCCACCACCTCTACTGGTTTGGGGGAACTAGGAGCAACCCACCTCTGATTTAATCCTAAAGAAATATGTAAACGGACATGGTGTGGGCAGTTCAGGGCAACATCCCTAAATTGAAGCTTTCTTTAAGGAGGAATAGGTTAAAATTCCTTCAAACCAATGTGCAGGACTGATGAACAGTTGTAAGAAAAGTTTTGTTGCAATCACTGCTACCCAACGGGGAGCGGGGGCACACACCAGTTACTGAAAGCAATGTAACTTTGCTTTTGCCAACCCAAAAATGTTATTTGGATCATTCCTTGATAAACAAACAAGTGTCATGTTTCTGATTTATTTAATTAGGTTATCTTTATCTAGTTGCAGGACTTGTGCAGAAAACAGATCCCATTTTATGCCTATTTATATGAAAATATTGAGAATTTAGTATTATAATACTAAGTTATGGTCCTTTCTTTGGTTAAACATTCAAGCAGAACTTTTTTTTTTGACTAAGACTCTTTTTGACTTTCCACCAAATATGAAAGGACAAATTTTAACAACTCAGTTTTAAGCTACATTGGGGTAGCCTACTCATAAACAATCCTCTAAATTCAGTACATTAACCAATTTTTCAGATAGAAAAGTTCCAATATTTTGTATTATTTTATACTGTATAACATTCCTAATTTCCTTCCATTAGAGTAGAAAAACTATTGGTTTTTTGAGTACTAAGAAGACAGGAGTTGTAACCCATCAGTATCTAGGTCAGGGGTGTCAAACTCAAAGGCCGCAGTCCGAATCCGGTCCACAGGGTACTTAAATCTGGCCCATGGGGTGGGCCTAGAAATAGTAAAGGACCGGGGCCTGCGGTGCCTCTAGCAGCCAAACTGGGGCATGGGGGGCTGCGCACAGCCCCTCAAACCCTGTTTGCAGACTGGACAGCTTCCTCCTGTCATGCCTGGAAGCCATATTGGGAATTGGATCTTTAGGCCTGCCATATTTAGTGCCTGGGAGAGAGGATGGTACAAAGCTGGGGAGATATATAGTCATAACAAAATTCCTTTCTCTGAGAATCAAGGCCACTTTGCCCTGCACCTGGATGTGTGAGTCGGAAGCATGTCCAGTTGGGATGGTGCATTGATTGGACCATGTGACAGACATGTGGCTGCTGAGGCAGGGACTTTGACATTCTTTTGGGTGGGGAAATGAAATGGAACTTTGAGGAACTTCAAGCCTCGGAATCTTCTTTTGTTGGGGGTGGTGTTACTTGGAACCCTGACATTAACCCAAATCTCCTTTAAAACTCTAGCCTTCTCCCCAAACCTTGAGGTGCTCTCTGGGGTCCTGAGCCCCGAACGTTGACCCGATACCAGGCAGCATAAAGACTCAGGGAAGATGGAGGAAGACAAAACCTGTAGCACTCTGCCGGGCAAAATGGGGTGTGGGTTGCCTCCCCATTTCCTGTTTTTTTGCTGGCAAAGTGCTGCAGGAGGCATCTGTCTCACCCCCCCCCCAGCTAGCCCACAAAGGAGAACTACAATGCTGATCTGGCCCTCGAAGAAATCCAATTTGACACTCCTGATCTAGATGATCTTAGGGGTTTCGTAATACAGCAAATACTTACAGGAACAAATGAAGAACAGAACATCAATGTACCCAATGTAAGTGTGAGAAAAAGTGTGCTATGATTTGTACAGTAAGGTGGTTGTAACCTATATAGTGCAGATTTGGAAGTTTCTTCTCCAACTTGCACACTGAAATCTTTCTCTATTTCAGAGCTAACAAAGATCCTCTGTGAGAGTGAAACATCGCTCTTACTGCAGCTTCCTTGGTAATATAAACGAAACTTGTTTATAGTTCTACATGTTTGAAAACTTTGCCTTTGGACAACTAACACCTGCTTCTATATCTCTGCTTTATTTCCCCAGAATACATCTTTTTCAGAGTGAAAATGGGAATGTTTATTTCGGTTGCTTAATGAGTCACTCACTGAAACTGGCACAGACTGTCCTTAAAAACAAAAGCAATTTCAGAAACTACACACTACTAAGGCAGACACAAAGGTTCTCTGGATTATAGCACAAAAGCACAATTTAACAGCAGAATAAAGCTTGAAGCTAGACAAGAGACCTGACATCAGCACGCGTGCTAATCATAGTACAATGGCCCTACTATGTTTCATGAAACTGCAAAGAGAGTCCATATAAATCACTCTTTGTTATCTGAAAATATCTGGGATTCTTGAAGTAAGTTCTATTTTTAACATTTTAATATTGGCTGCCTGATAGAAACTGTATATTGCCTTACTGAGAAAAACTTCAGACAATCATGCTACAGAATGAAGTGAAAAGCACAGCTTTGGTTTTCGGATCCAAAGTATTTGGCTTGGAAAATCAATAAGATTTTCCCTTCCTTGCTGAGATTCTTTGATTCCTTTTAACAGGTGGGACACCTAATGTTAACATCTTTAGGAATACACTTCAAAGGGTTGGTCTTTGTTATAGATATTACTATAATGAGCAAATATCAATTTTTAAGTTTTTTTCTGCCCTGTTAAAGCAGAATAATAGTACTGCTGAAACCTAACCAGAATTAGAGTTTGTACTGCAGGCTTTATTCCATCAGTCCTGACTGAAGAGGACAGAGGAAAAATTAAGCATAAGAAGAAAAGAGCTTATTAATAAGAGGAGGAGAATATTTGATGAATGAATAGGAAGGTCTCTATATCATAGCAGCTCCTATGTCTACGTGAGGCTTTTATCAGATTCAGTCTCCAATGGATGAATGCGGAAAGCAGACTACTTTCCTAGGCCATAAGCTTTTCATTCAAATAAACAAATAATTTCATCCAAAATTTAGTACACAAATAATTTAACACACTATTAACACTAAATATTGATATTTACTGGCTTGCCACAAAGATAAATTACTTAAAGCATAATTGCTCAAGCTTCAGTTGTAATAATGTATCTTAATTCCTTTTACAAAGCTTTATAAATAAGGACAGAAAATATGAAGTGCATCTTTACTTATTGTTACACTGCTCCCCCTTTGCCAAAAATACATTCACACTTTTAAAGAATTGTTTTCCAGGAAGCACCATCTTTTCTTACAAAGAAAAATAAGGAAAAAATAGTCTCAGTGGAAGTTTCCACTCCACCGGCTATCATCCTGATTAGCTGTTTGAAATACACACATGGCCAACATTTCCTGTTTTTAATCTATTGTCACCGTTTACCAGTTCTGCATTGGTCTGTTCTAACTTTAGTGTACTTATGCAAACAAAAACATTGAAGACAATGTAAATATAACAGTGCTTTTTATTTTGCATCTTGCAGCACTTTTTTAATAACCTAAAAACGGAAAATTAGAAAAGCATATTATTTGAAAGATTTTTAAGAAGCAGGCGAAGCTATAAAATGCTTGATAAGATTGTGTGTGTAATTATTTTATAATTACTAATTTATTATCCTAAGTTGAAATGTGCTACTAGAACACCTCTATGTAAACATGCACTTCAGACAAACATCAGGATTTCTTGAGTGTAAATTCTAGGTATTGGAGATTCCAGGTATATTAGATTTGATCATGCAATAAAGAATTATTGCATTGCCCGCTGAAGCTAAAGTAATAAAAATGGTAC